ATTCCTGCTTGCACTATATCCATTAGTATACAGGCAATTTACATCAAAGGACTCACAAAAACATTGAAGTTTGATGACTGAGACAAGATCTGAAGTTATACACTACAATAAATATTTCAACGTTACTAATGGACATCTATGCCAACAGATATCAGGACAGAAGCCATCACTAGCACTGGAAAGACTAAGCTCTACTGTTTCCAGCAGTAAGTGAATGACATCTTTGTGCAATTTTTGACACAAATCTGCAAAAAACCATATAAAGGGTTAAATTGAAGGTTTACATTAGATAAGAGAATATTGGAACACAAGACATAAGATTCTTACCCAGATGTTTCCATCCTGTAGACAAGGCCTCCAGTTTTTCTGTGTGTCACTGTAAAGCAGTCGATATTTGCTGACCCAGTCAGAGCTACTGTAGCGACCCTGTGTCGCTATGGCAACCACCTGCTTCCTAGAACCAAGGTCCACCTGTAACCACTGGTAATGGTCTGTATCCAAAGGTGACCAGCCTCCAGCACCTATGTGAAAGATGGAAGGACAGTAAGAGGGAAGAGCAGAAAGATGGATCTGGAACATTTGCAACAAATAATCATAAGCATTTGTTCTTCAGCTTAGGGTGTTTTCAAACATTGTCCCTGTTAAATGAACCAAACTCGGTCCACTTAAAAGAAGACCAAAAAGGGGACCAACAAAAACGGCCCTCTAGTGGGGCAAATAAGTCTTTGATACACTGCCAATTTATCTAACAATGTGATTTTCTGGAATTTTTTTGTAGATTCTGTCTCTCACAGTTGAGGTGTACCTACGATGAAAATTACAGATCTCTCACAGTTGAGGTGTACCCCTACGATGAAAATTACAGATCTGTCCATTCTTTGTAAGTGGGAAAACTTGAAAAATCGGTAGTGTATCAAATACTTATTTGTAGTTCTTATTGTGTTCACACTGTGAGGACATTTGAAAGAGGACTTGGTTCTCTTTCTGGTTCACTTCAGCTCTGATGGGGCCTCAGGTCATACTATGGTACTGCTTTCATGATAAAACTAGGGCTGTCAAAGTTAACACTATAATAACAAGTTAACGCAAATTCCCTTTAAAACCACAGATTTTTTGCCTTGTGATTAGCACACTCACTTTCTGTGATTATGATCCTTGGCCTGCCACAGTTTGGGTAATCAGAAAGAGATGCAGCAGTTTTTTTAAAAAGGGTCTTTCTAATGGCAAGTTCAGCTCCCAACCCCTGCCAAATGGTTCTCTTCACAAGACCAAAGTTATTTGCATTTACTGTCGGTGTGAACTGAGTTATCACCGAAGTACGTCAGAGAGCCTCCTCTCCCTTGCCAAAGGCAAACCATGCTGGATAGATTGCAACTGAGAGGCCATACAAGGCGAGGTTGTTTTGGGGATTGTTATGAGCGTAATCAGCTTGAGGCAAGTAGCAGTACTACTATTACCAGGTACTGCCAGAGCACATCAGCTGATAATTCCACCCGGTTTGGGTTGAAATCAGTAACTGAAGCTATACACTGGCCCCAAAAGCACTTTTCAATTCAACTCCCTTTAAGATTAGACTTAAGACTTTCCTTTTTGATAAAGCCTATAGTTAGGGCTGGATCAGGTGATCCTGAACCTTCCCTTAGCTATGCTGCCATAGGCCTAGGCTGCTGGGGGGCCCCATGATGCTCTGAGTTTCTCTCCCCTCCCCTCCCCTCTCTCTCCCTATGCTTCTATATGCCACCATTACATATTACTGACTGTGTGTCTCCTCTCTCCCGTAGTGTGTTCTCTCTCTCTCTCTGTACCTTTCTGCAGGTTGCCCTGGCCCTGGAGCTCTACGTCTCTCACGAGCAGTCACCAGCCACATCGACCTGACCAGTGTTTCATTATTTGTTGTATCTTGTTGCTTTTCTTCTTTTGTCTCTCCTCTATCCACTCACCCCCACCGGTCGAGGCCGAAGGCCGATCGCCAAGTGCTTGCTCAAGGGGGATTTTTTGGGTTTTCCCTATGTAATAATATTGATAACAGTAAGGTCTAGACCTTACTTTGTAAAGTGTCCTGAGATGACTTTTGTTGTGATTTGGTGCTATACAAATAAAATTTGATTTGATTTGATAAGATATTTAATTATAAGATATTTTAATTTGTAATTTAAGGACACACACCTGTGTTGCCGAAAATGTGAGATTTGGACAAATGACAGCTACTCCAAAGCTGAGGCACACAATAATAAGTCAGCAGGATTGAAAAACGCATCCCAGCTCTGTATGAGACGATGAAACAGCAGCTGGAGATTTACTGTTCACCGGTGAGCATTGTTTACTAGTGTTAAAGAGAGACCTCATGTTTTATCTGTTTGGGTTTTGCTGCTTGAAACACAAAACTGCTTTGAGAAAACACTAACTCTTTTTAATGTTATACTCTAAAAGGATACTTTAATGTATGTATACTGTTTCAAATAAAAGCTAAATTAAAACTGAATATCTGCTGAAGTGAACTGAAATCATTTTGAATCGTACTGTATCGTATCATTACAAATTATGCAGTATGGTTTTTGTATTTAATCATGGACCATGTACCAAATCATGCGAAAGAAGAGATACACCTACCCCTACCCTCCGGTTGGAGGCTCAGAGGTGTGAAATGCAGGACCTCTAGACTTTCTTTCCTTCTGCCATCAGACTCCTAAACAGCTGACTCAGGATCTACCTCATGTACTGCAATTCCATCTGTACTGTTTACATGCTCATTTTGCACATGAATAATTGCGCACTCACTGCTGAATATGTGCACTTCATGGCTCCCACATAGCATATATTCTCTCTGCATTATATTGTGTTCTTGTTGTATTTTTATTGTGCTTCTTTCACTTGCTGCTTTAAAGTGCCTTAGATTTGTGTTATTGCTCATCTACTTTATATTTCACTTGTATGTGGCATTCATGTGGATGACAAAGTAAGAATTTCATTGTACAGGGAAACACGTTTCCTAACTGTTCATATGACAAATAAACACTTTGACCTTTGACTATTCCATGCAGTATGTAGTGCTAATTATATCATCAGAACATTAACTCATTAAAAGTAAAATATGATCCCATGTGTATACATAATAACAGGAACTACACAAATCTTATTACTGCAAAAGCATACCTTGCTTCCGATTGAGTTTGGCGTAACCAGCTCCACATCCTTGGGCATAGACTGATGAACTGGTGAAGGAGCTGTAGGGCAGAGGAGTGGCCAAACTGTTCTCACACTTCCCTAAACCAGAAACAAAAAATAACATAATAATCAGTATTAAAACTACTGCGAACAAGACCACTGATATCCCTAGCAGGTCAAAATTTTAAAAGTCCAATACTTTGTTTTAATAATTATACTAGTGAAAGTAGTGCTACAGTGCCTTGCGAAAGTATTCGGCCCCCTTGAACTTTGCGACCTTTTGCCACATTTCAGGCTTCAAACATAAAGATATAAAACTGTAATTTTTTGTGAAGAATCAACAACAAGTGGGACACAATCATGAAGTGGAACGAAATTTATTGGATATTTCAAACTTTTTTAACAAATAAAAAACTGAAAAATTGGGCGTGCAAAATTATTCAGCCCCTTTAAGTTAATACTTTGTAGCGCCACCTTTTGCTGCGATTCCAGCTGTAAGTCGCTTGGGGTATGTCTATCAGTTTTGCACATCGAGAGACTGAAATTTTTGCCCATTTCTCCTTGCAAAACAGCTCGAGCTCAGTGAGGTTGGATGGAGAGCGTTTGTGAACAGCAGTTTTCAGTTCTTTCCACAGATTCTCGATTGGATTCAGGTTTGGACTTTGACTTGGCCATTCTAACACCTGGATATGTTTATTTGTGAACCATTCCATTGTAGATTTTGCTTTATGTTTTGGATCATTGTCTTGTTGGAAGACATAAGACATTCCTTTTTTGATAAAGTTTATAGTTAGGGCTGGATCGGATGACCCTGAGCCTTCCCTTAGTTATGCTGCTATAGGCCTAGGCTGCCCTCTCCTCTCTCTCCATCCATCTACATCCCTCCACTACCCATCACTAAATGTGTGTCTCCTCTCTCCCGTAGTGTGTCCTCTCTTTCTCGCTCTGTCTCCCTGTACCTTTCTGCAGGTTGCCCTGGTTCTGGAGCTCTATGTCTCAGATAAGCAGTTACCAGCCACATCAACCTGACCAGTGTTTGATTGTTTGTTGTGTCTTGTTGCTTTTCTTTTCTTTTCTCTCTCCTCTATCCACTCACCCCAACCGGTCAAGGCAGAAGGCCACCCACCAAGAGCTGGGGTCTGTCGGAGGTTTCTTCCGTTAAAGGGAGTTTTTCCTTCCCACTGTCGCCAAGTGCTTGCTTAAGGGGGATTTGTTGGGTTTTCCCTCTGTAATAATAACAGTAAGGTCTAGACCTGACTTTGTAAAGTGTCCTAAGATGATTTTTGTTGTGATTTGGTGCTATACAACTAAAATTTGATTTGATTTGAACTAGTAACTAAAGTCATAAAATGAAAGTAGTGGAGTGTAAAGTACAATATTTCCTTCTAGTGAAGTCAACATTTGAAGTAGCACAAATTGAAAATACTCAAGTAAAATGTGGATACCTAAAAATGGTACCTAAGTACAGTACAACACCACTATTGCTCTGTTGCTACCAAAACATTGGTGAATTCCAGAATCTATGTAAAAACTACAAAAGTGGGTTTTGAGGAGAATTTTTTACTTCAAGGATAAGTCCGATCACTTTCTATATTAACAGTATTTTCACCAGTCGCCATACAGAGACTAAAACCGACAATGAATTGCCTTGACTCAAGGTTAATATTTGTCAGTGTGTCAGACATGGATCACCTTCTTCATCTGTGCCATAGACTTCCATTGTTGAAAAACAATTAAAAATACATCAGTGAAACAGAGCACTGCACTGGGTGACATGTTTCTTCATTAGCAAACCCCAGACCTGAGCGTGAGCAGCTAGCAAAATGTAAACAAAGCAGAGGACAAAAATCTGCACAGCTGAATGTGACTCATGCTAACTTCAGGAAATTATGGCCACTCAGTGCCTTTGGGGCAACATAGTTAGGTGTGGGGTCGTAATGAAAATACATGTCACCCAGTGCAGCAGTGTGCTCAAAATACTATTAACATAGAAAATGACCAGCCTTATCCTACAAGAACTGTTAATGAATGGGGCCCATTGTTTTTATAGTTACCACTGACTTCATATCATTAATTGTCACAAGCTGACAAAGGTGGACTTAGTCTTTAAAATGAACTGAATACCCTTCAATAGCAAAAAAACAACAACACTTTTTTGATCAGGCAGCAGTTTGGCTGTAAAAGGATTAAAAAAGCATTGTCTTGTAATTGGACATATGTCATTAGACTGTGTGTGTATGACTGTATAGGCTGGTCTTTGTTCTTGACACATCCATCAGAACTGATGCAAGATGGAGTTTTGGATGGGGGAGGGGTGAGAGTGCTAGATGTGTGAATGTGTGTGTGTACTTGTATGGCCAACAGTGTGAGAACCAGTTTTAATTTTATACCATGACCCGAGGACATTTTGAGAAAGCGGCTTTGTGTCTGGTCCTCACACCCCTTCAAAAAAAGATTGTTTGAGGATTATGACTTGATTTTAGAGTTCAGGTTAAAATTAAATTTAGATGTGGTATTAGGGTAAGGGTTGGGCTTAGGCATTTAATTGTAATGGTTAAGTATTAGGGTAAGGAACTAGGGAATGCATTATATCAATAAGTGTCCTCACAAAGATAGATATATGGCTGTGTGGGTGTGTGTGTTGCCAGGTGTGGGAAATGGTAATGAGCTTCCTCATATGCATTACAAAACAACAACAAAGCATGTATTAAGCAGTTTACAGGAACAAAAAAGAGATTAGCTGGTCAGCACAGAAGCCCAGTAGCCCTTCTTTCTCAAGACATGTGTTATTTGAACAATATGGTTACTGCTGTCAGCACTAGACAGGTGGACAACCCAGACTACATTTAATGATGATAATTATGAACATCTATTGCCAAATTGCTTTTTAAATAATTTTTCCCAGTTATATCCTAATCATATCAGGTGCAGAGAGAATTCTCAAGTCATTAGTATTATCATTTGAATGAGTATGGGGCACCATGAACTGGATTTTTTAATAGTTTGAAAATACATGGATTATATGATATTTGTAAATATGACTCCCATGCATAATGATGATTTGCTTTTATTTCACAGGATTCAGATGACGGTTTTTGATATCAGTGGGGTACTATTCTACACTCTGCTTCCGGGACAGTGCTGGGGTGGGGATGGGAGGCGCGCCACCTAACAATTCAAGATGCCCCCACGGTCCCTGCTTTTGACTACAGCCTATTTTTTTGGTCAGTGATTTTTAAAATTGCGATTTTAGAAACAGGGCTGATGCAAGTGTTTAAATGTGTATGTTTGCAAGCTTGAAGAGCATGAACGCTGTGACTGAAGCAGTGTATTGAAATACCATTCACCTAAACTCTTGAGTTTTGGGGACGTGGATTCCGTCGGACGGTTTGAGAAGTTTCATTGGCTGTTTTGGATGTGCCTATTCCACAATTGTTTAAATGTGTATGTTTGCAAGCTTGAAGAGCATGAACGCTGTGACTGAAGCAGTGTATTGAAATACCATTCACCTAAACTCTTGAGTTTTGGGGACGTGGATTCCGTCGGACGGTTTGAGAAGTTTCATTGGCTGTTTTGGATGTGCCTATTCCACAATTGTTTAAATGTGTATGTTTGCAAGCTTGAAGAGCATGAACGCTGTGACTGAAGCAGTGTATTGAAATACCATTCACCTAAACTCTTGAGTTTTGGGGACGTGGATTCCGTCGGACGGTTTGAGAAGTTTCATTGGCTGTTTTGGATGTGCCTATTCCACAATTGTCACAATTAACAGTGACACAATTAAGTCACTTGCAGTTAATTTTAACTGCAAGTGACTTAATCCAAGCTCACACCACAATCCTCTTTACACCATGATGGAGCAAACTACAGAATTTTCACCTTTCAAATCTGCAGGGCAGGAATGTTTAGTCAAAATATATATTTTGAATAAATATCTTTGCAGACCTTTGTACTGTAGGTGGGATAAAGAATGGAGTTACATTACCCTTTTGTCTCAGAGGCAGAAGAAAGGTGACAAAAACATCTCCACAAAAATGTAGACAAGTGTGAAATGGATACCAGTAAATGCTGTACGTATGTACAGAAATAAAAGCAAGATATAAACACTACTATAGCATCTGTCTGTTTGAAATGCACCGACTCTGACCTTTGTACAGCCATCTCCTTCCTGAGAAGCAGATGTCCAGTCAGCAGCAGCTCCTGACTGTATTCACCAGGTGTACTGATATCACAAATTCATTGGATAGAAACAGTTTAAATTAAGGATCTCTGAGCTGTATACACAGCAAAATTAGCACTGCTTTTATTCATTGATTCACTGATTTTATTCCTGTCGGTCAACAGTGCTACCAAACGTGACACTATGGGCCTTGTTCTATATGTCAATGTTGTTAATAATAACAGTAAAGGTAAAAACTCTTAATCAGTTCACAAATGCTGTCAATTTGTATGTTTCAAACAGCTGTCTGTGGACATTAAGCGCACCAGAAGAAAACAGCAAATCTCGGGGTTCCATAGTGATGTGGGCATGGCTCAGGGACAGTGTGGACTGATACATTTGATAAAATTTGTTTCATGTTCCAAAAGAGCTGGAACAGGGGCAACAAAAGACTGGGAAAGTTGAGGAATGCTCAAAAAACACCTGTTTGGAACATTCCACTGGTGAACAAGTTTATTGGAAACAGGTGGGCATCATGATTGGGTATAAAAGGAGCATCCCAAAAGGCTCAGTCATTCACAAGCAAGGATGGGGCACAGTTCGCTACTTTGTAAACAACTGTGGGAGCAAATAGTCCAGCAGTTTAAGAACGTTTCTCAATGTACAATTGCAAGGATTTTAGGTATTTCATCATCTACAGTCCATAATATCATCAAAAGATTCAGAGAATCTGGAGAAATCTCTGCACGTAAGCGGCAAGGCTGTAAACCAACACTGAATGCCCGTGACCTTCAACTGGCGGGACTTTATATCAGCCTGTACAAACCTGTCTAAGGAATCCTCACTGGAGGCAGACCTGGGAGGGGAACTTGCCAGTAGGCGTCTTGTGGCCGCGCCTTAGCCCATGGGGCCCGGTCAGGCACAGCCCATGGGACTGACATGGTGCCACTGCCCTGTGGACCCACCACCTGCAGGAAAAGGAATCAGATGCAGTGCAAGTCGGGTGCCAGACTAGGTTGGGTGCCTGGGCATGCTGATCACTGACTGCATAGGCCAGCTCTAGGAATGTGGAATGTCACCTCTCTGGTGGGAAAGGAGCCGAAGTTTGTGCAGGAGGTGGAGCGATACCAACTAGATATAGTTGGGCTTACCACCACACATACTGTAGCTCTGGCTCAGGAGATTGGAGAAAGACTGGACTCTATCCTTTTCTGGAGTTGCCCAGGGTGAGAGGCGCTGGGCGGGCATGGGGATACTCACAAATCACAGGCTGAGCACAGCTGTGGTGGAGTTTTCCCCGTGGAATGAAAGGGTTGCCTCTATGCAACTTAAAGTTGCTGTTTGTGTCTATGCACCAAACAATAGTTCAGAGTATGTGGCCTTCTTGGAGACCCTGGGTGGGGTCCTCGAAGGGGCACCACCTGGGGACTCCATAGGCCTGCTGGGGGACTTGTATCACAAATACAAGCAGCTGAAATGAGTTTCCCTCATAGGGTGGCCGGCCCTTAGAGATAGGGCGCAGAGTTCAGACATCCGGAAGGAACTCAGAGTAGAACCGCTGCCTCTTCACATTGAAAGGAGCCAGTTGAAGTGGTTCAGGCATCTTATCACAATGCCTCCAAGGCACCTCCCTTTGGATGTTTTCAGGGCACATCTATCTGGTAGGAGACCCCAGGGTAGACCCAGAACACACTGAAGAGATTATATATCTCATTTGGCCTGGGAACGCCTCAGAATCCCACCAGAGGAGCTGGACAATGTTGCTGGGGAGAGGGACATTTGGACTACCTTGCAGAAGAAGCAGAAGAAAATGGATGGATGGATGCAAGTCAATCAGTAGGGGAGACCGGGGATGTTTGGAACACATTTTGTCTGACCATTACTAACCCCTGGGTGTTCATGGTAGATCTCTCAAATAAACACATAAAATGACTGCATTTACATGCACTTAAGTAAGCATGTTATAATCAGCTTTTTTGAGTAAGCCGATTTGTTAACTGTTATGTAAATGGAAAACCTGGTTTCCATAATCGGGGTAGGGGATTAGGGAAACCTGATTTTCCCAGGTAGATTTCTCTCAGAGAATGTTGATTTCTCTACCATGTATATGTGTAACCACGATTTGTCATCAGCTTTCTACAGGAGCAAATGTGCAAAAGAGAAAAACAGGAAGCTGTCACTGGTGCACTGTCACCTCAGATAAAAGCCGATGGAGATGCAAACTGCTTGTTGGATTGTTTTGTCTCCTATTTGCCATGATTAATTCCATGATTAATGGGGCAGCTAATGTTGTGATATGGTCTCTTTCGCTAAAGAGACCAAAATACGAGCTTGATCAACCAAGTCCATCTTTGTTTATGAGAAGATGCAGTCACATAATGATATCAGGCTTTCTAATTGTAGGTACACCTGTATTTCCACTTTCATTGTGCTTGGGTGTGAGGCTGTTCAAATTTCCTAGGATCTCATGTATACTGGGGTTTTTGAGTAACCTGATTACTGATTTTTATGAAACACTGCAGTACATGGTCCTTTTTTCATGGTCACACCTCTGAGGGAAACATTTTAAAAAATTTTGGTGAAATACTAGACATGTTCAAAGCATTGCTGAATAAAAACATTTATTTGTAGAATGAAATGCCTGACTATAGTATGCGTTTCCCATTGTAATGATTGGATAGCATCTAAAAGACTGACCAGCTGGACTGTGAAGAAGCCCACTGAGGAATGCAAAGTGATGAATTTCTTTAAACAGTCGGTGAAATTGTGTTGTTTGCAAAATTGATAAATGCAAGCAACACTTAATTAAGTCCTGGAACCGAAAGCAGTGTTGGAATCAGTTCTAATGATCTGAAAATGGCTAATGAAAAGGTCTGACTAAGACGCCATCTGACTGTTCTGCTCTCAGTCAGTAAGAGGACTATGGGTATGAGCGGCAGCTTCGTGTTGTGAAGCTGTGCTGTGGGGTCTTGACAGCGAGATTCTCTAAATATCCATCTGACCTGAAATGATTTGCACCTCAATAAGCAGTCTTTAACATAAACACCTTAACACCATAACAAACAAAGATTTCTTCATATATCTCCAGTTCAGAAATGAGTTTAATAAAGTAAAATGATAAAATAGAGATGCACAGCATAGAAGAGAGCAAACATTTAAATCAAGGAAGAGAATAGTTCTGTTGGGGACAAAACTACTGCTGGAAAAACGGACTTGTAAAAATGACATTTTAATATTTTGGGGGGTTGTCGTTTAAATATAGTACAGTATGTCCTGTTGGAAGGAGACTGCTATAGAGATCATTGAATATCTGGAATAGACACCAACTGAATGGATCACTTTTGGCTGCTAACAAGAAAGCCATCGCACACTTCAACCACAGACAACTACGCTGCAACTGTCAGTATAATAAGCATACCTACCTAGCTAGCCTACCGGTGTCAACAGTAGTTATGTTCCCATTCAATTTTCAGGCAAATTTTAAGTGATAATTAGGAATCTTGTCAAAATGAGCATGTTCCCATCAACTACTTTAAGATAACATAAATTGAGCACTAGTATCTCTGATAAATCATTTCCTTTCTGCTTCTCACCAAAAATCATTAAATATTACATAGGCTTGTCATTGTTATCATGTAGACTGTTATTAGACCCAGCATGTACATAAATATTTAAAACGTGGTCTTTGTTTTTGTTTACAACTGAACTGCAGTGTGGTATAACCCATTTATGTGACTGTAGAAGAGTCCTTCTGTAAAAACGTGTAGGCTGGTGTTTAATGGTTCAGGTGTTCCTCTTCAGTGAGACAGAAGGCATGACCCTGACTGTCAGTGACACATTAACATATTGTATGGTTGCAGCCCCGCTGATACTGGTAGTTTGGCCTCATGCTGTGTCCCGACTGGTTTCCACAACCCCGACTGTACACAGAGCTGCACTGGTCCCAGCAAGAGCAAACCACCAAATTAGCCACGTTTGGTTGCGTGTGTGTGTGTGTGTGTGTGTGAATACACTTGGCTATACATTGTGAGGAGCAGTGTAATTTTAGACACCATTTCTAGGGTTGTTTGGGGGTTCGGTTTTAGGGTAGGGTTTCCGGAAGGGTTGAAGGCATTTAATTGTGATGGTTAATGTGAGGGTAATGGGGCTGGGGAATTAATTATGTCAATGAGCGTCCTCACAAAGATAGGTGCACAAACGTGCGTGTATCATAGCCTACTTACGTGCTACCGAGGATGCAGCGCTGGAGGTGCTGATGATGCTACACAGGACTGGCAGCATCAACAAGGCGGTCACATGAGACATCTTCACAGAACAAACACAGTCAGGGAGACCAACAGAGACAATGGAGAGGGTCCAGGCGGTAGTCGGTGCCGTGTTTCTCCCGCTGCTAGGTCTGTGATACTCAGCCGAGACGCTGCGTTTTTATCCGCAGCGAAAGCGTAAAGCAATGGCTGTCCGCCCGCTGCGCCTTGTGCGTGGCGTATTGTCTTCCCTCTCGCCTCCCTCGTCAGCCTGCCCGGCGGCACTCCAGCGCAGTTTCACCAATAACCTCTGGATCTAGTCTGGATACTGAACGCGGCTGCGCTGCGGGCTGGGCCTCAGGCTCCGGGTGCATGATCAGACACACAGCTGAATTACCGGACTCATCAATACCCCCCTATTATCTGTGCATATGGTACGGTCCCATACGTACAACAATACAGAAGGGGGTGGTCCGCATAATGTCCGGAGGGAACATTAGAGAGAAGTGTAAAGCTCAGTATTTATAATTATATGAAAGGTCTGAAAAGATACTGGAACATCTTCAGTACACTCTCATGAAAACAGAATTGTACAGTAAATTATATTTAACCATTGCATTGTAAATATTCTGAAAGCTCTTATTGATCATAAATAATAAATAAATGTATAGTCTTCTCTCTCCTTTTTCCTGTTTATTTATATAGGCTACACATATTTTGCTTGTCTCATGGAAGCACATTGAGAATCACTGAGTCAGCATACTGGGCCAGTAAAGCTGATCCCAATTCTGAAATTTGTTTAAAAGAGACCAGAACTGAATAAGAAATTATTTCACACAGGTGCTTCATAACTAGTATCTCAGTATAAATGATCCAACAAATGGCATACAATAAAAAAGCAAGCCCATCAGTAGATAGGCTATGTCACACATAAATTCAAAATAAATCAGTATATCGCTTTTGTTCATGGATGAATGGATATTCGTGGAGATTCTAGAGCTCTATATCTCCACTTTGTGGAAGCAGATAAAATTCATTCTATGTTTTAGTCATATAATCTTCTTCTGGGTGTACCATAGCTATAAAAAAGAAACCTTACTTTGGGCAGTATGATGAATTATTGGATTTGGACTCAAAAACTAGAGACAGCTCACCCCGATGCTGTATTTATCGCTGCAGGCAACTTTAACCAGTGCAATTTACGGACTGTACTTCCCAAATATTACCAACATGTGAATATTCCCACCCGGGGCAAGAACACTCTGGATGATGTTTACAGTAACATACGGGGTGCATACAGGGCTGCACCCCACCCCCACGTTGGACACTCAGACCACATTTCTTTGTTCCTGTATCCAGCTTACAGACAAAGACTGAAATAAACAAACCCTGTCACCAAACAAATTAAACTCTGGACCCCAGAGACTGAAGGCATCCTGCAGGACTGTTTCGCCCAGACAGACTGGGATGTGTTTAAAGCTGCAGCCACCTCAGAGGACTTTTCTGTCAGCGTACAGGACTATGCTGAGTATGTGACCGGATACATTAGTACCTGTATCAACAACATTGTGCCCACCATACAAGTCAGGAGGTTTCCCAACCAGAAGCCCTGGATAAACAGTCAGGTACGCCACATGCTGCGTGCTCGCTCTCATGCATTCAGATCAGGCAATGAGACGGAGTACAAAGCTGCAAAGTATAGACTGAGGAAAGCCATCACAGTGGCCAAGAGGCAGTACAGAGAGAAGCTGAATGGCTTCTATTCTACTGCTGACTCCGGACGGATGTGGCAAGGCCTGCAGCACATCACAGACTACAGGACCACCACCAGCATCATCAGCTCCACAGACAGCCTGCCGGATGACCTCAACACTTTCTACCCCCACTTTGAGACCTCCAGCCACAGCACAGAGAGGAGGCACACACACAC